GGCCAAGGCAGCGCGAGCAAAGGCGCGTTCAGGCGACCGAGCGGGCTTCGAGGGCAAGAAGCAAAAGTTCCTCAACTAGAGAGCCAGAGCGCCGAGGGCCGCAGCGTGCGCATGCGGGGCGAGGGCGGCGTCGGTACACCCTCTCCAGCGTCACCGCTTTCGGGGCGCACGCGCGCCGCGCGCCGCCTCGAGCTTGCCCTGTCGTCCCAGGCTCGGTCCTTGTCTCCTTGAGAGTCACTATCGACTGTGGAGTGGCGTTGACCGTCTTGATGAGCGTGTTGACTGTTGTCGTGCAGGACGCACACGGGTTTTGAGTGGCTGCCACTGCGCTCGTGCCGGCGCGATCTCTCGTCGGCAAGTGACCAAAATTCACATATTGCTTGAGAACTCAAAAGCAAACATTTACGCGACACGGTCTTCAACATTCGACCAGCGGCCCGCGTGGGGGCTGAGCTCATGTTAGCTGCTCCCAGCGCCCAGCTTTTGGAGAATCACGTCGACCTGGTTGGAGAGGACCGGCTGGCCGCGCCGTGTCCTCTTTTTGAGCTTGGCGCTCGTCTCGGCGCGCCGCCTCTGCGCTGCAGCTACCGCCTGACTCCGCTCCTCGTGTGCACGCCTCTCCTCCTCACGCGCCGCCTCAACCTCGCGCTGCTGCTCCTCCCAGCTCTTGCGCGCCAGCGCCTGGGCGCTACCTGCGGGCTTCCGGCGCTTTCCGATCGATGCGTTGCTGCCGCCGCCGCCGCCGCCGCCGCCCGCTTGCACATTCGGCGCGGCCCCGCCCGGCGCGCTGCCCTCTTTCCGGAGCAGCTGCTTGTACTTGCCCACCGTCTTCCAGCGCTCCACCTGCTTCTTCTTCTGTCGCTGCTGCTTCCACGCCGGCGGGACGTAGGTGGAGCGCGAGCGTGACTGAGGGGCCATTGAGACAAACCGGCACGCGAGCACCCTGTGACGCAAAAATAACGCACGCGCAGAGCTGGCGGAAGAGGACCGCCGCAAGCGGCGTGGCGTGGGTCGGTTGTGCACCCCTCCGGGGGCCCCTCTGCGCCGGGGAGGCGTTGTTGGAGGCTAGGACGCAAGCGTCCGTCGCCCTTTTCAAACTCGGGGCCCACTCCGCTACGCTCCGACCCGAATTTGGGGAGGGCCTAAAAGTTTAAGGTGTTGCTGCGCAAAAGGGGTCGGACACAGGGCGCAGCTCATGCTAAGAGCTAGAAGGGGAGCTAGAGAGAACGACTACCCTGTCCCGTTATTGCGTACACCAACACCACAAAAGCGCTCTCTCTCCTGGGTTCCGGCTCCTACCCGGATCGGGGGTCTGTCCCCACTGACTCGCGCCAAAACGCCCTACCTACCTACCTATTGCGGGCGCCAACCGCCAGGCTCCGTGCCCCACCTACCTACCTATTCCCAGGCCGCGCGCTGCGAACGAAGCGTAAAATACCCGTTGAGCCCTCTCCCCTCTGTGAATAGGCTCCCAGCGCCCGCCGCACCCGTCTCGGCTGGCGTCCCAACCGCAGGTGACTCGTCTGGCATGGCCCCGTTCGCGGCTAAACGCGCTGTCTCCCGCCCGCGCGAGCGGAAGCGGTTTTCCCACTCCTCTCTTCGGTTTTTTTACCCCCCCCCCCCCCACACACACACGCACACCACCACTACCAACCTACCTATTGCGGGGCCCTCTGGGGCGGTCAAAACCGGACCTATCTACCTATTGCACAGGGTCTAACGGGTGGGGACAGAACCCCTATCCGGGTAGGAGAGCCGGCGGAACCCTGTGACCACACGCAAAAATAACGCACGGCCTGAAGCTGGGAAGAGGACCGCCGCAAGCGGCGTGGCGTGGGTCGGTTGTGCACCCCTCCGGGGGCCCCTCTGCGCCGGGGAGGCGTTGTTGGAGGCTAGGACGGACGCAAGCGTCCGTCGCCCTTTTCAAACTCGGGGCCCACTCCGCTACGCTCCGACCCGAATTTGGAAGGGCCTGAAAAGTTTAAGGTGTTGCTGCGCAAAAGGGTGGGGAGCCGCGGCGGCGCCGCAGGCGCGGGCGCGCAGTGGAAGCACGCTAGCCATACATGTTCAGGCAGAGAAGCTGACGGTCGGGGTCGTGACAGCTCGAGGGTGCGCACACTAGCGGCCGGACGCCTCACCCGCGGACGCCTCACCCGCACGCGCACCCTCCAACATCGCCGCCGAGCCCAACGCCCTGCCGTCAATCTCGACGAGCGCCGCACACCTGCGCGGACAGTGGGCAGACGTTGCCGCCTTGTGTCCTCGTGTGCCCGGAAAGCCTCGAGCCGGCGCGCACCGGTGGCAGCGCAGGATGAGGCGGCAGCAGTGGAGGGTTGGGGCGCATTTGAAGGCGCTGGCCCCGACGCGCCATTAACTGGGTCGGGGTGGTTCCTCACCCCTCTGGTTTCAGTCAAGCGGGAAGAGTCTGTGCAAGGGGGGCGGATGGGGCTGGCTGCGTCACCTTGGAGCATGAAAGGTTCCTACAGTAAGGCTACTCGAGTACGCAGCACCTTGGCTTGGCCCCCGAGCGGGGAGGCGGTCGACGACGCGCAGGATGGCGGTGAGCGCAGCCTGACGACGCGTCTTGATGGACGGATCCTTCTGCTGGCTGACCAATTCCGCCCACCTCTTGACCGGCGGCTTCGTCACCAACATGCGCTCGAGAGGCGGAGCAGCCTCGATGCGATCCAGTTCGGTAGCTATCTTGTCGCGCAGCGCATCGTCAAAAGGCAGGTTGTTACAGGCGTCGCGCGCGTCCCCGAGGTCACGCAGGAGGCTCTCCATATGTGTTGCAATAGCCCCCGCGTTGGTTGTTGCGCAGTGCTCCCGTAAAACGAAGCGATGTCTTGGCACCAGCTGAAGGCTTGCCCCCCCGTCCACGGCCCAGATCACATGGTTTCTGCACGGTATTCGGATTTTGCTATTTGTTCGTGTGGGGGTATATTGCAGATTTGTCAATGGTACCGCGTCTGCGACGCGGGCGCCTTGCGGGCAGAGCCCTTAGCCACCCTTTATATCTTGCGCGGTCATAACGCACGGGCAGCAGCGGAGCTGGGAATAGACCGCCGCAAGCGGCGTGGCGTGGAGCGGTTGAGCATCCCTCCGGGGGCCCCTCTGCGCCGGGGAGGCGTTGTTGGAGGCTAGGACGCAAGCGTCCGTCGCCCTTTTCAAACTCGGGGCCCACTCCGCTATACGCTCCGACCCGAACGAATTTGGAGGGCCTAAAAGTTTAAGGTGTTGCTGCGCAGAAGGGGTCGGACACAGGGCGCAGCTCATGCTAAGAGCTAGAAGGGGAGCTAGAGAGAACGACTACTCTGTCCCGTTATTGCGTACACCAACACCACAAAAGCTCTCTCTCTCCTGTCCTCACTCAGGGGGGCGGTCACTCAAACTACCGGAGTCTCTCGACTAGCTGCCACGTTGCCGACCGAGAGCCAGCGGATCTCCTCCTGCTCCGCAAGGAGGGTGGCCAAGGCTAAAGTCTTGCCGGAGCCGCCGGGCGCGTTGACGACTTGGAGAAGGTCGCCCTTCTACTTGTACTTGTAGAGATGCTCGAGGGGGTGCTTTGTGGGGCGGTGCGCAGCCAGGCCAGCAGTGAGGGGAGGCGCACCCTCACTCTCCTCGGTTGCAGAGCTCGTCGGAGGCTGCGTCACGACGGGAGGGTCGCGACAGCAGCCTCGGGCGAGCCGACGCGCATGTCCAACCAGCGCTGGGACTCGTTGTGACGGCAGACGCCGGCTGCCTCTCCAACCGCTTCTGCAGCGTCCTTCTTTGCCCGTGCATGGGCTCGATCCGATTCCGCAGCGTGTCGTCCCCAGCGGCGGTGCTGCGCGGGAGGCGGCCGCGGGCACGCTGGGCTCGATCAGCGGCTTCCCCTCAGTTGCTCCGAAAGCACGGATTTGGCCGTTCTTGGCTTCAATTTTAAAGCACTGATTTGGCCGTTCTTGGCTTCAATTTTACGGATGTCTTGGCACCAGCTGAAGGCTTGCCCCCGTCCACGGCGGACATCACGCAGTTCGTGCACGGTATTCGGATTTTGCTATTTGTTCGTGTGGGGGTATATCGCAGATTTGCTCTCCGCGACCGTCCCCGTCTACATTTCCGAGTGAGCGATCTCCCCCTGCCCTCGCACTGCCTCGCAGTCCCAACTCTCGTGCGGTCTGCCACCCTCGATCTGCTCCGACCGCGTCGCGTTGCAGGTGCGCGCGCAAGGAGGACCGCGGCATGCTCTCCGTCCTCTGGCAGACGGCCATCGTCTCGGGAATCACGATCGCTGGCTTCCTCAACCTGCCCTTTGCCGAAACCGGCCCGGATGGCATGTGGGCCGGCGAGCCCCTCGACGGCGGCCCTATCTTCCCATGGGGGTGGCGCGCCTCGTTTGGAGGCAACGTATCAGTTGCGATACTGCTCTCCGTCCTCATGCTCGGCATGCCCGAGTCGCCTCGCTGGCTGTTTGCGCATGGCAAGGAGGAGCAAGGGATGCAGGTCCTCCTCAAGCTCCGTTCCACCAAGTTCGAGGCGGAGCAAGAGGCGGCTACGATCCGGGGCAAGAACGACCGCGAGTCGAACGGAGGCAAGAGCAAGCCTGTCCAATCTGGCTGGGGCGGGCTGTGTGGCAGTGAGCAGCCAAGGGCCCATCCTCGGATCCTATCCGCCTCTTGACATCCCACTAATGCATACAGGTGAGATGTCGATGTGCCACCGCACCGCGCTCGGCGTCTCCCTTCAAGCGTGGCAGCCGTGGGTGGGGATCAATGCTATCATGTTCTTTTTCCCCATCCTTCTCTCGCAGTTCTTCGACACGCAGGGCGCCCTGTACGGCAACCTCGGAATGAACATCGCGAACGCGTTGGCGACTCTGATCGCCGTCTTCGGCGTCGACCGCTGCGGCCGCATCTCCCTGTTTATGGTCTCCGGACTCTCGATGGCCTTCTGCCACGCGTGCATGATCTACCTCGCGGCCGCCGAGCAAACTACTACGGTGGGCATGGCTATCATCGGCGCGAACCGCCTGTCCCCTCAGCTCAGCCCCGTCCCGCTACTGCTTGTGCACCGCTGGAACGGCCCGCTGGAACGGCTCGCACGTAGGCCTCATCTGCCTCTTTGTGGCGAGCTTCGCGTACGGCTGGGGGCCCCTGCCATGGTCGGTCTGCTCTGAGATCTACCCACTCAAGTACCGCTCCAAGGCAACCTCGCTCACGACGGGCGCGCGCCGCGCCGCGCACACCCTCGCCCTCACCCAGGGGCCCCCTCACCCCCTCTGGGCGATATCCACAGCGCGCTGCCGGCGTAGGCGTGAACTGGCTCATGAACTCAGTTGTCTCGCAAGCGTACCCAGCGATGCAAAACTACCAAGCGAACCTCCCCTTCATCGTGTTTTGTTTCACCAGCCTCGGCGCCGTTTGCTGAGCATCAGGCGTTAGCCCGGCACACAACCGACCTTCGCCCCCCTCCGCCGAACAGGCGCCACGCTGACGGTCTACCTGTTCGCCCCTGAGACGGTGCACAGACTCTTAGACGCTTGTGTAAAGGGCACACCAAGTGCACGCCCGTAGCAGTCAACCCCAGTCCCTGCCCCACTGTCCTGCCCCACTAGGCTGGACTGTCGCTCGAGGAGATCGACGAGGCCTTTGCGCAGCACCACGTGAAGGCGGCGCGTTCTTTCTGGAAGGAGGCCCAGCGCAGCAGCGGCGACGCGGGCGAGGAGCCAACCAAGGGTGGCGGTCCCGCGCGGGCGACGGCTCTTGCAATGGCATAAGCAGCTCTCGGCGCCGCAATATCATGATCGACGAGCAACGAGCGATGTGGCATCGCACAGGAGCAGCCACTCGCTCCGCACATAAGCCCGCCACACTCAGGGGCGGGTAGTGTTGCTGGCTGTGGAGGGACAACGAACGCAATGGAAGGTAAGCTGGGCCCTCGCGATGCTCAGAGCGCGCGGACGGTGCCACTGATGAATTTTGTTTAGTTGTCACAGGGCATGGCGCATGCGAGACGGAGCCAGAGGGTAGCGGGTAGGGGTGCCGAGGTGTTCCGTGTATTGAGGATGGCTCGCGCCGCCGGATCACATTTTTTTTCATGCACACCGTGTACTGCCCTTGTCGCGAGCAAATTCGATGCCCTCTCAAGAGCGAGCCTCTCACGCCGTCGCCGAGAGCCCCGTGGCAGAATCGCGTAAAAAAATGTAAGCCCTTGGAAGAATATCTTAAAATACAAGCCTCTCTCACAGCACACTGGCACGACAAGGGCGCAGACTGGCGCGGACTGGCACACACACCGGCACACCACACCGGAGGTTGGAAGAAAGTACAGTAGAAAGAAAGAAGTCAGCACGGCGCGTTACGAACACAGGGACACCTGAAAAAACCCGGGGTTTGCGCGCATCGATAAACGGGTCTCGGGGCTCTATTTTCTCTCGTTAGGTCTCAGGTGCTGGTTGAGATGATTTGTGGTAACTCATGCCCCAGCACGGGCCGCCGCCTCGAGCGCCGCGGCGACCTGTTCGTGCCCGCGCGAAGCGGCGAGGGACGCGGCGCTCACGCCGCTGTCGTCCACGGCAGCAGGGTCGGCGCCCGCCCGGAGGAGCGCCGCCGCGACCTCGGCGTGGCCCGATCCCGCAGCCGAGTGGAGCGGCGTCGACTCGCCCGCGTTCCGCGCGTTGACTGCCGCGCCCGCGCCGAGCAGCCACGCCACGGCCGCCTCGTCGCCCGCGGCGGCCGACCAGTGCAGCGCGGTGTGGCCGATCCCTCTC